TAATGTATCACATCGTACATTCCACCATAGAGATTAGGGCTGGTATCATTAAGAAGTTGCCGATACGATACATACCTCGATACAGCGACTCAATACGATATATTGCAAATTGATTCAATACAGTTCAATAAAAAATAAAGGCTAAATGATGGCTGTGACACTAAAAGTCTTCTTGCTAAGTTCATATAAAACACACCCATCAAAACAGTGAACATGTCAAATGTGTCGCATAAACGATTTTCCTTCAGCTAAACAAGCAACAAAACTGAAGCTGTAACTAAATCATTTTGTAAAATATACCAAAAAAATACTCCTGGCAATATATCGATACACCAGCTCACGTTGTCGGTGTAACATCAAATTAAATGATACAATATATTGATATTTTGATATTTTTGCACACCCCTAATAGATACACATAGAACATCTCCAGCATGATGTCACTGCAAAGTACCAACAAGTGTGTCGTCTACATCCAATTACAAAGCAATTCATTGTCCTATAGTCAGGAAGTGCACATTAGCATGCTAGCTGTCGTTAGCTTTACACTCTATAAGTGAAGTGACAGTGATACAAGAGTGAAACAGTGAAATATTCAGCCTAAAGCGGTAATCGAGCAGCAGACAAAAAGTTTGGAGTGAGCGAGAAACTTGTGAGGGACTGGTGGAAAGAGGAGATGGAGAACACAGCTTCACGGTAACCAGGAGAGTGCATGCAACTTTCCTGAAGTCACTGGATGGATGGACAAACCCTGGACTTCAGCGACACCGAAACCATCCTGTCGGGATTCAGAAAGATCGGAATAATTCTAACTGGAACTGATGCCGAGTCTGACGACAGCTACACAGAAAGCAGCGCTTCGTTTACCCCCGGAGGTTGCCAAGTTGATCAGAGGTGATACCGAGAATGAAGAATTGAATGGATTTAGTGATCTGGAGCAAGATGGAGAGTTTGGTAAACTTGTTCTGTTGTTTATGCTATAGTTATCTGAAGAACTGTTCATATGTGACGTTCTGTTGTTACTAGAACTTGACTTTCAAGATGAAACATCGGTCCCTGGTCTCTAATTTTATAAAATAAATTCTCCCCTAAAAGTACAACTTATAGTCCAGTGTGACTTATAAATGTTTTTTTCTTCTTCATTATGCATTTTTTTTGGCTGGTGCGACTTATACTCCAGAGCGGCTTATAGTCTGAAAAATACAGTAATTAGAATGCTCAGAATGCATAAGGTAAATGAGGAATAATTTTGGACCACTGTAAACCGTTTAAAATCAACTGTTCTGTTTTTCACACTTTCAAGACAGGAAAAAATCTTGAACAGCTCCTTTAAGTTAAAGTGGATGGATTCCAGTAAAAAGTGAGTAAGTAGTACTGAAGAGTTAAGCAACACTGGGCTGGATCTGCGACACTAAAATCACATGTTGACCTCTTGCTAACCCCGCCTACTTTAGAGAGCTATAAATGATTGACGAAGTGTAACATCCTGCTCCTTGGTAAACGGAATCTGCAAACGTCACCAGTCTCGCCAATATGCATACGTCACCATCCTGGAGATGCAAAGACAAACATGACAAGCCCCTGCCAGACCAGGCCCAGAGCAGGCCAGACAGCACACAGTCTGCTAAGTCTTCAAAGGCACTGTACCTGATTTTTACAGTGTGCATGACTGAAGAATCTAGTGGAGACTATTTGAAAGCTCCTTGTGGTTAGCAGTATGAGCCTGTACAATACCCATCCTCCAGCACAGCCACATTTCATAATTACACTAAATCAGGAAACAACATACAACTTGACAAACCTGATGTGATGTGCAGGTGAGGGTATTTCAAAACAATAAACTTGAATTTAGGTAACTTGGTGATCTAAATATGTGTTAGAAAAGAATACCCCATTGATAGGGCTGGGTGTCATTAAGAAGTTGCTGATACAATACATACATACATACATACATAGGCCACAATAGGATACATACAGTTTGTGACCCACCCACTGCTAATACTTTATCTGTCTTGAACTGCACCAGTGTTTTTTTCTTAATTTATTTATCTCTGGTTATGATAGTGGTTAGAGATGATGTTATTTGTTTTGTCTGTGCACATAAATGTAGTCCTGTCTTGCTACGAATGGGATGGAGAGAAAACATGATTTTGATTCCTTTTGTATGTCTACTACATGTGAAGAAACCGACAATAATGCCAACTTTGAACTTTGATCTTTGATATCTCGATACAGTGAGCTTTCGATTTGATATGATATACTTCAAATCAATTTGATAGGTTTCAATAAAAATAATGGCTAAATCATGGCTGTGATACTAAAAGTCTTTGTTAAACCACTTCTTGTGCAAAGTTCATATGAAACACAAACATTTTAATCATCAAAACAGTGAAAATGTCAAATGTGTCACATAAACCAGTTTCCTTCAACTAAACAAGCAACCAAACTGTAGTGCTAGTTTACCAAAAACTACTCTTGGTGATATATCAATACAACAACACACCATATTGATACTGTACCATCACATTAAACAATACAATATATCGATATTTCAATATTTTTGCACACCTCTACTCATTGAAGTAGAGGTTTTCTTTAAGAAAAGCAGATTAATACAACAGCAAGTTCCATAATGACCTTCAATTTGATCATTACCAGGTCAGAAGAAAAGACATGGCTCTGATATATTCTAATGTCCAGTAACATCACCAACATCAGAATTCAGACCAGCTCAGAATACATGCAGTACTTAAAATGCATCACAAAAACTCTACAGTTGGTATAAACACATCTAGATATTTCTCCACTGGACCTCCACAGGATTTCCATAACATTTCCATGAGAGCATAAGAGTATCAGAGGTCCAAGCTGTGCCAGAGGAGGTCATTTCAAACTCACCTTTGTGGTCTGCTTCTCCCTCATGATGATCCTCGATAAGAGCACCACCCAGATGGGCATGGTGGCTTTGACTGGAAAAGAGAATAACAGAACCCTGTTGTCACAAGAATCAAGACCCAGGTACTAATCAGTAATAAAACTAGCATCAACACTAGAACACTGGCCAGCACTGACAAAAATGACATTACAGGACTAAACCCATCGATAGAGGACACATCCAAGTTTTAGGCCACAGATCAAGTTTGTGAAATTTAAAATAAAAATCATACCTTTAATTGTAATTGTGGGGTAGAATGACTAAACAGTCCACACTAAACACTCGCTGTAACAATATCAAAAATGTGTTTGAACTAGACGTGAATGATGCAGCAAAACATTAATTTACAATTTTCCTGCCACCAGATCACAATCCATGTGCCCGTAAAGGGCAAAGTATAGTTCTGTGTCCACGCACGCTGTTGCCTTGTCGCTAAGAGGTAAATAAAGTCATCTTGTTCTAAGAGAACACTACATTAAATAGACCATTCAGATGATTAGTCTATAGAATTATATTTCACAGCCCCATTGCTACATTTCAAAAGATAAATAATTTTCTAAATAATAATTTTCTTCATGCTAGCTGCAGTGGGACAATGGACCATCTGTGTAGTCTCTTTTCTACCTTCATAACGCCACAGGAAAACAGGCATCTAAGTGCATCTAAGGCCCTGGAGCTTACATCCATACAATGAGTTTATGGTAAACATTATGAGCATTCCTCTATGAGTACCTACCATTGATGTGAGGTCAAAGTTCACAGGAGGTGGGGGGGCAGCCACTGAAGTGCATATGACTGACTGCAAATAACTACTTAAGCTGTCATTTTCAACTTATTTGCTTCTAATTGCTTCTTGATCTGCATAAAATTATAAGAATCATAAAACCTGTCACACGTACTTTCAACTTTCAATTGTCACTTACCCAGCCAGTCTGACAACATACATGGCTAATGGGTCATTTGAAAAAGTTTTCATCCAATTTCATATTGTACTGTGTTGGACATTCCAGAGCTGTTGTGTTGATTCAGGTTGTATTGGTGAAGCTAAAATTAGACACTGGAGACTTAAAAGGAACACAGTTTGATCCAATATAAGAGCCACATGAGGTTGATTTTGGCTCCAGTTCATTAGCGGTGGAGAAAGGGGCTTATTTGATTATTAGCTGTGAGTCGGGTTAGGGCTGATCAGGTCCAACTGGAGGTACGTTTAAACAGGTTATCTCCTCTCAAATCAGGGAAGCTCTATTCTGTGGTTTATAGGTGAAACCAAATCTAACAACAAATCTAAACATAAGATAGAAAGATGTTGTTATTCATGAACATAGCATTGTTAGAATATGCAACTCCTGTAGTTAAAGGGTTATAATGTTATAATGTTGTTTCCTCATGATAAACAGATCTGTACAGTGTGTTTATTATTAGTTGGTCTACCAGTTGCGATCCTACACTTAAGTTCAAAATGCTCTGTTCTACCTTGTGATCTCATGAAGAGGTGCATTTCAAATTAACGGGTACCTTTCCCCTTTCAATTCAGTAGAGATTGGCAATTCCAGGGTGAAATCATCCAAATGATTCTAGTGAAGGTGTGTGGAGTTTAAAAACACAGTGGAGTACTTCCTGTATTACCACGTGACATCACAAGGAGTGAGAGAAGAACTCAGCCTCAGCAAAGGAAACAAAGGAAACTCCAGTTCTATTTGTGACGAGGAAACGACCTTAAAACATAGATGAGAAAATAGCGTCATATGATTAGAAATAGTTTATCCACAGCGCTCCAAAGCGGTAAGAAGCAAACATTTACGCTTCCAGTATTGCAGATTATGAGTTAAATGTTGGGATCCATTTCTTATCTGAATTCACTGAAGCCTTTGTAATGAAGTTTCAGAGCATGGATCTAGAGCGTGTTGGAGACAGGTGCATGAAGCAGGAGCGGACCCTCCCCCTGACGCTGCCGAGAGCTAATCAAGTTGGCTAACGCGAGCTAACAGGCTAATCATTTGATCGGGAATGAGCAGAAGAATGTTTAAAGTGATCACTGTGGCTCCTGAGAGGACACAGCCAGAGGAAAGGCTCGGCTTTTTATAGCCTACGTGGCAGTAACGTGAGACAGGGCCGGGGGCTGCTCAAGTGCCTTAGCCGCCTGAGCGTTAGCCGCATGCTAATATCAGCTGAGGAGACACATCACCAAAGTGTCCGCGGCTCAGAGCCACGCACCCGGCACCGCGACCACTCACCCGTGTGCGCGTACGACACCGGCACCTTCCAGATGCTGAAGTGGGCCGACACCGAAGCGAAGTACTTCCCGAAGGCGAGAGGCAGCAGATACCAGCGGTAGTACCTGTTCGACACTTCTGTGTGCGGGACTCCCCATGCTCGCAGCAGCGGCGGCAGGAACACCACGATGGAGAGGATGTGGAACAGAGACACCGTCACCGGGTACGGGAAGCTGTTCAGGATGATCTTGTTGATGACGTTGCCCCCGGAGCTGACCGTGTACCAGCAGAAACACAGACACACGATCCGGACTCCTTCTCTGACCGGGGTCCGCTCCACTACGGCCATCTTCAGAGCGGAGTGACGAAGCTCCCCCAGCGGCGGCGTGCGTCTGAGCCACCGGCCGGGAGAGGGCAGGGCACCGGGGCTGAGCAGGCGAGCGCATCCGGTCACCGCCTCCAAAATACACGCCATGCCCTCCAGCTTCAACCCGGCGGTGGAGTCAGCAGAGTTTACAAAGGTGTACGATGTAAATATTATTAACTATAAAGATGGACATTGACCAATATGGAGAAACTCTTTTTTTATTATTATTGTTATTATTACTTAATTATAAAAATTCAATAAATTCACCACACCCTGTTGTCAAGTCCCTTTACATAAAGACTGTAAACAACTGATTTAGTCCATTCATATTAAAACTACAAAGAGGAAGACCATTCAAGTGTTCATTTGAAGCCTCAGACTACTGCATTCTCTTGCTTCCACAGACCGCACACTGATCTGAGGCTTGATTAAAGGTAACCATTTGGAATGCTATAACATGTTTATCCAGCGTTTGATCATCCCAAAAGCAGAAATACATCTTAAAACACTGTTATGAATAAATAACAATAAAACATCACTGCTTACAAAAGGTGTGATTATAAAAACATGATAAAAACATCATAACATCTTTACAAAAGCAGACATCATTCAACCACTATTCTGCACATTAGATTTCATTGTTTGCAGTTTTATTCTGCCATTATTAAAGGGACTTTACACGTGGACACAGTATGAGTGTCTAAATACATGTCTCCAATAGTCTCCAACAGTAGTATAATAGTACATTATAGTATTTGCCCTTTTTGTTGCATATGGCTTTGTTTTCATAACCCTTTCATAACATATCCCTTAAGAGACTTCTGGCCTATTTTCCATCCATTAAGAGCTTCTTCAGCTAAACAAATATGGAATTTTCGAAGAGTTCAGCAAAAAGACAGTTGGAATCAATCAACAGCCTGAGGAATGAGCTCAGCTAACAGCCCAGAGAAAAGCAAACACTGATCAGGGCTCTGATCTTTTTAGAAACAACATGATAAGCTCCTTTTAACTTGTTATTTTATTATTTGCCATTCATTTACGGCTCTGGGCAAATACTGCAGACATAATACTGTGTACAAACCATATATGTACATGTATCTTATGCCAGTCAAAACCACACAAGAGGACTAAGGAACAGTGTAGGTTTCTGCAGAATCAACATTATATTATTTTGTATGGAATGTTAAAAGAATTTTTGAGAAGAGACCACAGCAGCTGTGGTTGGGCCATCCCAAAGTTAGAACAGAGGTTTTTCACACTATAACTCTCTATGATCCAAAGTCAGACCATTCTGGAGTCAAACAGAATGTAGAAGGGACTGGCTGTCAGACAATCATATTAGGCAAAAGCAAAGGTTTAAATGGTCTCGTGTTACTTCTGGCAGCATGGCATTTCTTGATAGAATCTGAAAGCCAGTGGCAGTGCAGTATCTAAAGACACATCTGGAGCTCTCAGTATAGACAAACATAAGGCAGAACATCCAGCTTGCTCCCATCAGCATCCAGGTCTATGGAGAAGCTCTGGGTCCAGTCTGACCACTGCCCGCTGGGGTTAAGGAGTCCGTTGACCCCTGGCCAACGCTGGGTGTGGAGCCTCTGAACATCAGCTCCTGTGACAGGCCTATTGACCCCCGGCACATTCACAGAAGGGCTCTCAGGCAGAGGTACTGACTGTTCTCCTTTACCATCTAATGCACTGGACACAAAGGATGCCCTGGACACTGCCAACAGACTCTGGTGACTGAGGTAACTACTGGAAGCTCCCTGACTGGATATGGTGAGCATTTTATGATTTACATTTTGTAACTCATTTTCAGTTTCACCTTGTTGATTGCATTTAATCTGACATGTTATGGGATTAAATACAAGTGGTTTATCTTTAAACTTCACTGTTTTTTTGTTGTCTCCAAATGTATTCACACACGCCTGCTTCTCAACTGACATGCTCAAACCACAAGATGACAATTTCAGACTTTCAGAATCTATCTGCTGCACATCCTCTCTGCTCAAACACAGAGAATGTGGTTGCTGTTTAGCCTTTTTCACAGTTTCCTGTTGTGATGAACTACATGTAGTTCTCTTGGTGTGCTCCCCTCTAGAGGAGGCGGCCTGCTGTTGTATTACAGATGCTTTGAGTAACAGAGAAGTGCTGAGAGGCTTGTTCACCTGGATCCTAAGGCCATTCATTCCATTGCTATTGGGTGCTATCTTTAAATGTGTTCTGTCAGGAGTGGTCTTAGATACTTTGGTTGGTTCATGTACATTGTGGTCACCCTTGCGTTTTTTGTGGTGCTTCTTTCCTGCTTTACAGTTGTTGAAGTCATTGCGGCTCTTGAGCTCACAGGTGGTTTTCCTGGTTGGAGGAACAGAGGAGGAGATGTGTGCATAAGATGATCCATGAGAAGAGGACCATGTTTGAGATGATCCATGAGCAGAGCACCGTGGTGTGTTATTGTCTGTCTTGGAGCAGCTCTGGGCAGACCCAGGCAGTAGGAGCTGCTGCCACGCACGCAGAAGCTTCTTGGCCCTCTTTGCCAGCTCAGCATTTTGAGTTTTCCTCCGGACATCGTTGATGAGCTTTCCCAGACGAGTTTCCTTTGAGGAAATAAATAAATAAAATAATAAATCAATAATAAATAAAAGTTGTTGAGTTACAGAAGTGAACTATTTGTCCTTCATGCAAGATGGAGAGTTGTGACTTATCCTCAGACTCAGTCAGGAGCATGACTTGAAATGACTAAAAGCGAAACTGCTTGAGTTTTTCCAGAACAGTACACAGGTCTGTCTGTCATGGTAAGTATGGACTTATCATTGAACATATGACAGATGGAACAATCATCTTTAGGCTCAATACTTATCGTGGGAACTTTGTATTAGTAAGAACCTTTTGTTTATTTTTCTGTACTGTGATAAGACATGAGCTGTCCACGGCTGAAGAAATAACTTCTATGACTCATTAAGTGTTTCATTTATTGATGGCAGCTCATATTCATTAACAATACTGTATATGTAGAATTTTTTTTGAGACAATCCTGTCTTATGATTATTGTGCCAGTGGCATAATGGCATTTAGCTATTATCCTTATTATTATTATTTATCATCTATATATCATCTTCAGCAATATATCAGAAAATAGGTCCTGTAATTATGCAAAACTGATTCTTGTGAGCCACGGTAGAATGTCTTAACCTCCTCAAAAACAGAGTTGTGTTTAGTTTCATTCACACATGTTTTAGCGATCCTTTATCATTTGTCTGTCTGCAATGCCAAAACTCAAAACGCTCGGTTCCACCATAGACTGTATAAAGAAGTGGGTGTGATGTCTCCCAGTGTTCAGCGCCGCTAGCTATGTCCATTTAAATATACAGTCTGTGGTTCCACCTTGTGATGTCATGTAGTAGTAGTTTATAATTTTATATAAATTTTCAGTTTGAGAGAAAAACTCAGCCTAAATATGCAGAGTTTGTGTGTTAAACATGTGTGAATGAAACAAAACACACCTCCAGGTGTGTTTGTGATGAGGAAACTACATTAGAAGAAATAAAATATCAAATCATACTATTATAATCCAAGTTTGTAGGTTAACATGGATTTTAAGGCCATTAATTCCATTGCTTTGGTGTGATATGTTTAGATGTGTTCATCAGGAGTGGTGTTGGATAGTTTGGTTGGTTTATGTACATGTACATATGTAAACAAGATCACATGATACAATTACAGCCCAAGATGGTGCTTGACAAACTACTCATTCTAGACACTGTCTGGGAAAATGCTTGGCATTCTGAGTACTACCAGCTCTATACTAAGTCAATAACAGACCTACATACCTACCATGTCCAAAAGTAGTAGTAGTAGTAGTAGTAGTAGTAGTAGTAGTAATAGTAGTAATAGTAGTAATAGTAGTAATAGTAGTAGTAGTAGTAGTAGTAGTAGTAGTAGTAGTAGTAGTAGTAGTAGTAGTAGTAGTAGTAGTAGTAAGTAGTAGTAGTAGTAGTAGTAGTAGTAGTAGTAGTAGTAGTAGTAGTAGTAGTAGTAGTAGTAGTAGTAGTAGTAGTAGTAGTAGTAGTAGTAGTAGTAGTAGTAGTAGTAGTAGTAGTAGTAGTAGTAGTAGTAGTAGTAGTAGTAGTAGTAGTAGTAGTAGTAGTAGTAGTAGTAGTAGTAGTAGTAGTAGTAGTAGTAGTAGTAGTAGTAGTAGTAGTAGTAGTAGTAGTAGTAGTAGTAGTAGTAGTAGTAGTAGTAGTAGTAGTAGTAGTAGTAGTAGTAGTAGTAGTAGTAGTAGTAGTAGTAGTAGTAGTAGTAGTAGTAGTAGTAGTAGTAGTAGTAGTAGTAGTAGTAGTAGTAGTAGTAGTAGTAGTAGTAGTAGTAGTAGTAGTAGTAGTAGTAGTAGTAGTAGTAGTAGTAGTAGTAGTCTGTAATCTGACCTAACCATAGACTATATAAAAAGTGGACTAATGGAGTGTGACAGCACCCACAGTGTTTGGCTCCAGTCAAATGAAGCTCAAGAGGCTAAAAATTATGGTGGTGAATTTGGAGTCGAGTTCCACATTAGGAATAGGAATTTATTTACGGACTAAATAACGAAATAAAAACACTAGGATCATGTAGAGCGGGTTAATGACACAACAGTTAGAGTCTAGCTATGTACATTTATAAATACAGTTTATGGACTTAACCCAAACATGTGAACAAACTGGCTCATAGGGTGCGCTCACATTGCAAAATAAAACAAAAGACTAAACCTTGAAATAGAACAGGGCAAACCAAAGTCCACATAAGTAGTAAAATGGGCTAAAAAACAGGATAAAATTAAATGTGAACGCTCCTGAAATGATCCATAGAAGTGGTTTGGTTCCCTCAGTCTGAACCCGTCGAGACAGCTCTGTGGACCATATATGTGACTGGGAGACAGTAGCTCACTTGGTAGAGTGGTCAGATCCCCTGACCCACAGGTTGGTGGTGTGATTCCAGCTCCCACAGATGAATGCTGTCATTGTGTCCTTGGGCAAGACACTTAACCCACGTGACCCAAGTGTCTGTGTACACTGGTATATGACTGATAGATGTACAGATACTTTATTTATCTCAAAGAAAATAAGTGTGAGTGTGAATGATGCTAATAGCTAAAGTGCCTTGAAGGTGGAAAACTTCTGTGTAACTGCTGCTCATCATTTTGAAAATGAATTCCTATTCTTGATATAGAACTCTGGTCCAAATTTGCCCCATAACCACTAGCCTCCTTTATTCCACTTCTTTCTACAGTCAGCTCACACTCTCCACTCAGTACACTCTGCTACCATCAGGGGACACAGGTTTAGGTCTCTGTCATTCCGGACTGAGAGAGCCACATTCAGCTTCCTGCCTTCCTCCATCAGCACTGATTTGTGAAGCCTGTACCACAGTTTGAGAACCACTGATGTGAGTGTATTTATGATGCATACCTCCAGGGCTTCTTTGGTGATGGGATACTTCTCCAGGAAAGATATGACATCTAGAACCACCACCATGTTGGACACCTGTAGGAGAGGAGCTGTGTGTTATTACAGGGAACACCACTCAATGAACTTTCAGTATCTACAGGTGCATTCAAAACAGCAGCTTCTAGTTTCTGGTTTCAAGATGGTTATGATTAGCTGAAAGTGGATGCAAATTTGAGTCTTTCTGTGAATGCAGATTTATTTTAATAGGGCAAATGTAGATGTAGAAACTTTAACTTGACACCATTTGAATAGCTTACAAGACAACAGCTGCTTTAAGCTGCAGCAGGTCATGCATTCATCATCGAAAGTTTAAACCAGGACTTGCAAAAGACCAAAAAATCAAGCAGGCAAAATCAGCACAGCCTGGGTTTAAACCAGGAGTGAGCTCGCCCCTAACACGTCTACTGAATGCACCATTCACAACTGGCCTCATGATAAACTAATTAATTAGGCTAATAAATAACCCTGTTAACTAAGATGATCAAATGTAGTCCTATTGCTGTGTAATCCACTCATCTTAATATTATTTTGTGTCTTATTTTAAATTATTTAAATGCAACTAGTGTCACAGTAATTCCGTCAGACTGATAGGCTTATCTTTCATTTCAGATGCGTAAAACTGCCTTGACACTGCAGTAACGTCCTAGATTTATATCATTGTAACTATCCGTTGTAGAATTTTTTGAAGGCAAAATTATTAACAGAGGAAAACTGAAGAATTGGTAAATTGCACACAATAGTCCGGGCCGTGGTCTTTGTCTTGTGTGGATGAGTGTACTTGCTAAATATTGTCATTAGAAGTGTCCTTTCCTAACAGTGCGTGATTAGACAGTAGACTTAACGAGTGCTGGAATCTTATTTGTTATTAGCCTGTTGTTGGCCACGTGAGCATGTGGTCAGTCTGTTATTCCCAGACAAACACTACGCGCTCCTGGCGTCTGTGTCAACCCGAAGTGGACTCTGCTCATCCCCATCATTCCGCTAGTAAAAGGTTTAAACCCGGTCCAGTACTTACGTTACTCTGGCTGTCGATGGCCTGCAGCAGCCTGTCTCTCGCCGCCAGCGGAGAGGCTGTCGCGGCTGTCATCCTTCGGGTTCACCGCGGGTCAGACACCGGGCTGCAGCCCCGGTGCCCAGTCACAGCCCCAGACAGCCGTCCGTCTCCAGGCTCCAGGTTCACAGACGCAGAGTGGAGCTTTCAGAGGAGCGCGACATCGTGTTTTATGATGTTGGGCACTTGCTTTCTTTCATGACGCTCGCGTTACGCACAAAGCTCCGGTGATAGAATCTGGTGCCCGGTAGAGCGCTGCCTCCAGAGCCGGCAGCAGCCCCCTCTCCCCTGTCAACGGGCTTTTGTTCAGCTCAGGCGAAAGGAATCTTGGGAGATTTTACGCGTACAGCGTCAGCTTCACTTGTAAACACCAGACGTGTGGAACCAAAAATAACAAAGGAAACTATTATAAATATAATCCTTTCTGAATCTCAATGTTGTGCTTTTTTAATCTGAAATGTTCCATTCATTTTAAAGGCGATGAACCAGGAGTCAGTTCTCAAAATAAAGAAATGACGAGATGAAATTCTCTCAGGTCTCTATGATTGAGATAAACCCCACCACCAAATACCAACGAAACATCCTCCAAGGCTTGGCTACAGAGATTTTCCGCAGAAATCACATTGTTTGGCTTCAGCTGCACATCAACTGCTGACCACTACACCATAGAAAAATGCTTCAGTAAAATCTTGAGTACCCTTCATATTCATTATTCTGGTGATAACCAATGTGTGTAGTATAAAGGAATCATATGTACTGTATAAGCCTTTGATTTTAAAATCCATAAACAGACCAGTGTGCCCCCAGATAGAAACATGTTTAAATCAAATATAGCTTTTACTGATAACAATAAACATTATAATTCAACATTATAATTGTTCATTACAGACACAATTACTTATGATGGCAAAGTTGTTTACATTATAATTTGGTGTTTTGGTTCTCCACTCACAAAGCAGAATGAGCCTCACGAGTCTCTCATTTGGGTTGCCAGTTTCAATGCTGTAATCCAGGTGGTTTAAACATAAAATGTCTCTCTGATCTGAATAGTTACTCCCTAAACCCCAGCACCTGCAGCAGTCATGAGTCAGTGCTATTGCAGCCTCTGCAGCTCAGGAAGGGAATTCTGGAGATTCTAAGCTTATACATAAGGCCATGGTCTGTCCATAAACTGAAAATGAGACACACTTGAATATGTCCTTTATGTGCAGGTGAAGGCTCTGGTGACACAGCGTCAGATGCATTGTAATATGTATTTTAAAATGATAAAGAGTGCAGAGTGAGTGTGTAACAGAGTCATTACCTAGCACAGCAGGACCAGGAAAATATTCTAACTAGAAACACAAACAATGACTTGACAGAATGTGACTTTCATTTTATATTTAAAAAAATAATAATAATCTGAAATCACCCATGATCCATGTCACACTGGTCCAAACTACACAAAGGGGTATTAACAGGGATAAGTATGGAAAACTGCAAGAGTCTATAATGGTAGATTACAATAAATACAGTGGGTTATTGTTTCTGTACAGTGGTTTGTGGAAGGGCTGCACATGTACAAGGAGAAACCACATTATGTTGCCTTCAGGAACCAAACAATCTGTGGAAGGAGAAAACAAAACATGTTCAAACAGATGGGTAGTGCTTCATATCCAACATAACACTATACTGCACAAAAGTACACATTTGTAAAATAGGATGTGTCCTGTGTGGCCTGTGTACTCACACAATCATGCAGAACATCATAAAGATGTTCCACAGAGCAATGAAGATGCGGAAGTAGCGGAGGCTGAGCAGGAACTCCCGGATGTTGTCCCCTAAAACAAGTGTTTGGAAGAAGAGTCAGGACTGACAGGAAGGCAGGTCAGCACTCTTGTTTTAGACTTCAATTTAATATAATATTTTAGTTTCTTATGAGCAGCCCTGTTTGTTTGTTTTTTTTCAGATTATGTATGGTATAAATCACGATCACTTTCATAATATTCATAGCTCAAAAGTGGCAGTTGGTCACAAGTTGCATTTTACATTACGTTCACTGTTTAAATGGTGGGTTTGTTCCTTAGTTAGTGTGAAATATGATTATGTCTATTCTTCCTTAGAAAGCGAGCAGCCCCTGATGTACAGACGCTACTCTCCACCTCATGCTTTCTATACTCTCCAAATGGGCCTAAAATTCCTAACGTTTACACAAACCTGTAGTTGGTGCACCAGACTCATCTCCAAATCCTTGGGTCTCCTTTCTCTTTCTGTGAGATAAGCAAAGGAAAAATACAGTAATATTATTTCATTACAGGCCTCTCAGGTGTGAACATAAATCCACGGTGTGAACTATGAGCAGTCTACGGTGTGAACACGCCAGTCAGGCTCCACGTCAACAAATGTGACCCAGGCTAAATCTCGATCTATCTCAATTTAAAACACCAAAAACACAAACGTTTGTCTCTTTAGAGCTCATATAAAAAATATTGGTTTGACTTTTTATTACATTGTTTGGATGAAAAATAGGCATGAAATTGCTTTGTGTAGCCTAGTCGATTTGAAACTACAAGAGAAACCTGTGTAGAAGTTTAACTCTTTATTTCTCAGCGCTGCTTCGTCCAGTGTTGTAGGTCCACGTCAGAAATAAAGTACTCACAGTTTAAAATTGAGCACGGCTCCGGCGTTCGCCAACAATGTCCTGAAACAACACGGACAGTCACATTAGAGCTGTTACTGTGTTAGCTTTAGCTCACAGGGCTGTCAAACCCCGACACTTTACATTGTATTCCACATATGACACGTGAACGAATGCAAGCAACACAATTACGAAATACGTGCATTCTGTGTGTGTACAGATGTGTCGAAAGCAAAAAGATTTACCCGAACAACAATAAATCCCCGATCATTTTGTCCACATCACAACATGAGACACTTCCGCTTTAGCAGGCTGGGACGAACCAATCAGCGTTCAGGAGCTCGCGTTTTCCCTGGGATTTGTCAGTCAGGCAAGTGTCCCAACTTAACCCAAGAACTGAAAGTCTTAGAATTTTTGGGAAACATTCAGAGATCGTCAAGTTGGTTAAATATGCTGAGCGTCAAATGCCACATTAGTTATTTGATTGTCCAAGTAATTTCCCTTGTAGATCACCAAGTCTATACTATGTGGGCAGAAAATACCAATGGTGTTGAAACTTATTGGCAAATTCTAACAATCAAGCTCAACATGAATACAATGTTATCACTAGCAAAAGTGCAAAACTGAAGGTTGCCCCCCTTGGGCATTTTCAGTTTGTGTTTCATTTAAAATCCCTTGGCATCTAGTTTTAAATAATTAAAGTTGAAAATAAAATACGAGAACCACAAACAAAGTACGAGCAACATTTAACATTTGCAAATTCTTTATTTTTACTACAAGTAAATACAAAAAACAGACAATTCTATGAAAATGGTTATTTACAAAACAAGTGTCAGTGACAGGCATGCTGTGCTGGTTTGAGGTTGAGGTCAGGATTGAGGCTGGAGTGTCACGCTGCTCTCTCCGTAGAACTGGCCGACTGGAAAAGCAGAGAAAAGAACCATTACAATCAGAATAGTGCATTCGCAGGCTGAAGCTAGGATGGAGCTAAATATTGATGTAGCTTCAAGAATCCTTCTCAAAACTTGCAGAATTTCTTTGTACCTCCCATTGAGAAGGGTTCAATGATTGACCTAAAGTGGTGTTCCATTGTCAATCCATAAAACAAACTTCAACTAAACCACACCACTGAATTAACAGTAATATACCTGAATTTTCCCCATGTACCGGTAATTTGGAAAGCTTGTTTGTTCCATTACAGATTATATTCACCTCAAATGTTTTTTTACAAGTCAGGTGTGCGTTTTCTGTATCCAATTAGAAAGCATTGCGGGGAGCCGAGTATTAGCATGCTAGTAGAGTTGTGAAGTGTGCTGATAAAATGCAGAGTGAAAAGCACTGCAAACAGTTTAAAATGAACCAATTCTTGTACTAGTAAAACTCAGGTACAGCACCAAGAATCTTCATTACAATCTATTCAGAACAGGGGTATGGTTGGGAGGGGCTAAACTGGACACATTTACAGAGACTCCACCACAGACAACCTGAGTGGCCTCCTGCTGCCCGTCGCTGGCACTAGAGTCCCCGTTGCCATTGACTTCCCGTTTGGCCTGTTTTGCCCCCGAGTCGTCTATCGCGCTGTCTTCATCTGCTTTCCTCTGTCAAACAAACCGCAAACGTCAAACTGGCCCCATCCCCAGGGGCCGCACTACTGGGCTACGCATGCACACAAGCGCCACTCCTCAGCAAGCGCCAGGAAAGCAAAGACTCACAGCAGAGGTGGGTACCGATATGAGTGCTAAACAATAAGGTCACGTGCACCAACCTTTAGTCCATCCACAATGGTAGAACTCTGCTTTGACAGTTTAAAGTGGAGCTAAACACCAACTACTCTAATAATTACATTTCATATAGAGTCGCCATCTTGGGCAGGGGGCTGGGAGGTACAAGAACAGTGACTGGTCTAACACTGCCACACTTTAAACACCTGGCTGCAAGGGAAGAGTTTGAGGAGAACACCTGGCCAACCAGGGCAGTCTTGTGTGATGTAATTTAGTACAAAATGTTTAGTTTCCCTTTAAGAATTAGTGAAAGAGGTCTTGACTTTCATTTGAGTTTCTGGATAATCCTAATTGATTAATTTCAAATTAAAACTAGTAGATGCCCTTCCCTTTGCAACCAACCAACCACATGCATATTACAACAAAAGCAGTGAAGAGCAGATAATGTTTTAGTGTCTTGCCCAGAGATTACTAGATTGCTTAGGTGAACTTTGAACCAGCAACCAATTAACCCACTGCACCACCGTGTCTGCTACCATCTACCACTTTGCCAGGTAAGCAGAAAGTCTTTAAGTGCTATTTTAAAAAACACTTTATGGCCAACTGACCCACCTCTGAAAACACCGCACCCACCACCAAACAAGCAGAGCATGCACAGTCTAGCCACTGGAGGGAATCAGTTACCTTCTTCCTGACGAGGTGAGAGATATCAGAGACTGAAGATGAGGCACCATCTGCAGGTCGCACAGGAATCTGAAGATAAAGTACATTTTGAGGAATCTTGACTACGAAGTTCAACAAATGTGCTCAAATGATCTTCATACACATCTTGTTTTTACAACTAGTGCATATGACAGGCTGGACTACTCAAAAAACAAACAAAACAAAAAAAAACACTTCCTAGTTGGGACATCGACAGCAGATGTGACATGCTTGGATGTTGCCTAGCAGGCTTGTTAAGAGCTAAAAATATCTAAAATTACATCGTGTAAAAAGTTTCACCTGCATTAAAGAATCTCATGTTGACACAAGTAGATATATTCAATTTAAGAACTCTCCACTTCCTGTAATTTATTTACTCCCCACAAACTGTCACTTGATTGGTGTAAAGTATAATGTTGACCACAGCATTATCCCTCCAAACCAAGTAATTAAAAAACAAACCTGGTATGTGCATTATATCATTTTCCTGCTGTAGATACTTAGTCCTTATTTGACACCAGTTCCTCATCATTTATGCTACCCACTTAAATATAAACAGAGCAAAAATACTTTGACACAGTTGTTTACACATCACATAATTCCTTTTGTGAATCAAAAAGTTTGCCTAAAATCTAAATTAACACCAAATCTAGAAGTTCCTTGTACTGACCTGAGAGGCTCCGAAGGCTGATGAAGACGACCCGCCATTTTCACTGAACCCTGAGGATGTTGAAGCGCCGCCCTGTGAAAAGCACAGTTAAAGCTCATGTTTCACATGATGGACGGTAGTGTTGGTTTGTGGTACTCACTAGTGTCTGCTGGATGGCTCTGGACGCAGCACTGGCCGTCCTCTGGCTCTCCTTGGCGTCATCCACCTTGTCCCTGATCTCTGGCAGCAGCAGTTTGAGCTCCTCCAGTTCATTCTTCTCTTCTGAGGCAGCCTCTGCTGCTCCTGCTTTGTCAATCACCTCCTGCAACATTGCTGTGGGGCCAGAACAGAATAAATACTACTTTGAAGAAACTCCAGACTTTGTTATTCAAATGTGACTCACAAGTGGGGCAGCAACTAACCATTTTGCTGAATGAGTAATCTATTGTTTAAATCAGGATGTCCTAAAACTGAATCTTTTGTGTTCTAATACTTGCCATGTGCTGAGAAGGTTTAATGACTAAAGCATGTTCATGATTACATTTCAACCGGGAGATCAACTTAATAACTTCGCCCACGCTGTGCCAAATGTCAAACAATTGTCATAATTTGAGGACATTTTGTACAAAAACAGTTACATTTATTACCACAACTCAAGTCAGAAAAGTTCAGGTGACTTGATTTGCTGCAATCAACAAGTATAACCCAATTTTAGAACAATCCTTTTGAATGGCAAGCAGCTAGAGACTGTGCGTCCTTACCCAGCCTGGCTTCGATGACCCTGATGGAGCTGCTGTAGTGCTGGATGGCCTGGTCGTACTGGTCCATGTAGCAGAGGGTGGTAGCTACGTGGTAGTGCGTCTCAGCCAGGAGCCTGCTGTGAGGGGGCAGGTGCTTCAGCTGCAGGGCCAGGCACTCCTGGAAGTCCTCCAGCGCCTGAGGATAGTTACCTGTACAAATAGTTTGTACATGTTGAATGAGTCACACAGCTAGTCTACATTGAACCTTACATCTTGTAGAGAGGTCTAAGACAAATCTCATTTCCACCTACCAGACTCTGCACTGACTTCTCCCAGTTTGAGATAAGTCTGTGCAGCCATCAGCTGGTCTTCTCTGGTGTCCTTTCTGCAAACAAGACATGTCTCAACTACAGTCCTCATGAGCACAAACAGGAGATCCATGTAAAAGAAACCTTTTGTAGATGACTTTGGCCACTTCCAGCATCTCCCAGGCCAGCTGCAGGTTTCCAACCTCCTCTTCCTCCTAATAAGTCAAAGGTTAGATTTGTGTACAATGTTGAATAAAATTCCATCTTAGCGCGCGCACACACACATACAGCAAAAAAAAAACAATGGGGAAAACTTGTACATAATTGTAATTTCTAAGATTTAGTAATTCCCAGTGTTAATCTCATCTGTTGTACATCCAAACTAAATGCAGTTTTTGGCAGCGAAAGACCAACTCGACCCAACCCGAGTCAAACATCTTACCCCATTCTTCTCTCCTTGTTCTTCCTTATTATCATCATCATCATCATCGTCGTCATCAACGTCATCGTCATCTGCATTGAACACAATCAAAATTAAGCACAACACTTCAAACAGCAGTCTACACAGCACACCATATACACCACTATGCTAACAAAAAACCCAGTGCGCTTTAGCCAGTACAAGACACCACCTGTGACATAACCAACAGTGTCCTTTTTAAATAGATTGCCTTCTTGTTCTCCTTCCTCCATGTACTCCTCCCCATCAGCACAGTGCTCTTGTCCAGGGAACCCAGAAATGTTCTCATCTTGTACTTTAGGAGAGTCACTGCCTGAGCCATTAGGCTCCACCTCCTGCTTCACTTCAGACTTAGAATCTCCCTGAGCCTCCTCTGGGCCAGCTTCAGCCTGCTTGGGTTCAGGCTTCTCCTCCTCTGCCATGGCCTCGTACACTTGCTTTCGGAGCTCATCTCTAGTTTGCTCTACATTCAGAACAGCACATTTGAGATTTGGGGGATGAAGTGGTTAATACATCCTCATCTGCATTATAAACAAAGTTTGAATACCACGTGTATGGAAGAGCAAGGTTTTAAAAAGTGAACTACTCAAAGCTTTAGAAACCACTCAAGTTAAGGTAATAAGTGTGATCCCGGGTCAATGTCATGGCATTTTCACATGTTGTAAGGAAACTTCAAATATGTTCAAAAACCCCCTCAAAAAGGTCACAATTTTATTCCAAAACACTGGTCCCAAAATGTCTATGTTTAGATTTCTCATTTAAAATGACTTATTCTTACCATCCAGGTTGCTGGCACTCTCGATGTTGGAGTTGCTGGGCTGCTCCTCCTCTTCACCTTCATCCTCCTCAGGGACTCCCTCCAGAGCATTACCCAAGACAGTGTTCTCCATCCTGCACACATACAGGTCAAACTGACAAGGGGCCATTTAATACATTCCACTTCAACACCAACTTGTGGAGGTGGCACTTCACCTGCAGGATTCCATGGAAATAGAAAGATAAAACCACACTTAATACACATGGAGAATGGTCCATACAATGGATTATAGTCCAACAAACAGCATTTCCATGGAAACAAGCAGGAGAAGGCCCACCTCCAGGGCAAAAAGGGCAAGGTCTAGAGATGCAAGACTGCTCACTACAGCAGGGAAGGGCTCCGGAGTAAAGTGTGTGCAAACTTGATTATTTTTTTAAACCATGTATTAAGTCCAAAAGAAGTGCTACAATGACAGCAAAAATGTAAAATAAAAAAACAAAATTTGGAACTGAACAACACAACTGATCATCTTGTTTTGTGTCACATGTTAAGCCAATCTTTAGTCTTGTGGAAATTGTCTCTTGTCCCATCCCAACCACACACAGTAGAGGATGCACGATTTTGGGAATATACTAAACCAGGGATACACATTGCGCGGCTAGCTTATACCAAAAATAACACACAGCACATATATTTTTTCCCAAATGTGCTAGATAAACATAGTGAACATTGAAACACAAACACCTGCCTTACACAAAGTATAAATCAAGGCTTAATTAATGGAGTTTCCTAAAAGGGGGCAGTGTGACAGCAGCAACCAGTGAAGCGTGGGTCCATGTATAAAACGACCCGGACCAGACTCACATTTTATACTAACCCACCCGCAACTCCGACCGCAAAAAAAAAAAAAAAATATATATATATATATATATATATATATATATATATATATAGTACCGGCTCTTGATTATCATCTACATGAAGTGACTAATATAAATAAAATGAGAAAGCTGTGCTAAACCTGCACATGTATAGTCTGCACTCGTATGATCTCTGAAGATATGAATCATCTCCAACGCGATATACACAGAACAGACATCTGTTAGAGAAAGAACACTCATACAGAGTCAATGTCCTTCAGTCCAACAGAAGCTGACACATCAACGCACACTTTTTTTTTTTTTTAAAAGCTGCTCTTTTTCAGGCTTATAGTTTATGCAAATGAGCCATGCAGTTTTAAGTTTCATTTTTGTAAAATGTAAACAAATGTGCACAAAAAAGGATTAAGCACAATGTCAAAAGGGGCTGATGTGGCTCTAGATTGGTGATGGTTTATATGTTGTAAAATTGAGTTTATTTATGCAGATTAGTAATAGGAATAATGATGACGACATGGATGCCAGCTTCCGCTCATCCCAGTATAAAGGTAAATCTGGTTTGAATTGAAAATGTATTGGATCTCCAATTTATATGTAGAAATGCACATTTGCAAAGGTGACTTGTCATGTTGGCATATGTTGGGTATAAGTGACTCTCCTCTTGATTTTGGAAAAAAAAAAAAAAAGGTATCACTGTACTACACGGTTTATAGGGCCTCACCTAGCCAGCTCCAGCAGGGACTTCCCACACAGGAAAAACGCCTCTCCACATTCATCTGCAGTGTCGCCGTACCTCGCAGCTCTGGGACAGCAGGAGAAGGCATTATTGAGTCAGCAAATACCAATAGTTACCTTTTGAGATGCCTCTCAAAAGGTAAACAGACAAATTTAATCTCTAGAATAAAAAGTACTCACAGCATACTGCAGGCATCCTGGAACACAGACACTGCTGATACCACGTCTCCCATCACCAGGTGTCTGTTACCAGTGCCAATCAGCTTCTTGGCCTCCTCCAGGACATCAGTACTGCTGCAACAAAACACCACAGGTTAAAGAAAATTAAGAGAAAAAAAATAAATAAAAATAAATCACACACACTCTAAAATGACTAATTAAAACGACCAGTTAAGATTCTTTATAACATTGTCCAACTCACCTGTCAGTAGCAGATGTAGAAGAGCATGGCTTCTCCTCCACACTGAAACAATAGTTATTAGAAATTCAGTTATATGAAATATTTAGTCATAACTTGCAATCACTGCAGCCTCCAGAAGCACGTGGAGAATTGTTTACACATCTGGTTGGAGGAGAGAAACCATCCTTGCTAGATTGTAGTCAGCCAAATGAACATTGAGGGCGCTAGAACTGAAATACACTGCATATTTATTCAAGCACTGTGGAATTTAGTACGTGCTTTTCACAAGATAAAACGTGAAACCGATCTAAACTTTGCTCCGCGGACACTACCCGATCCGCGCTAACATTGCGCGCATGCGTGAACGAGCTGCCATATTGGTACAGCTGAAACAGAAGAATAAAAAAAATAAAATAATTCACTTTCTTTGCCCATTTTCGTGTGAAAGTAAACATCCAAGTTTTGCTCGTGTAAAATCGAAGGTGCGCATTATCTGATCTTTAGTTTTCAGCTACAAAAGTACAAACTAATTGAGAAGATGTGGTGTAAAGTTGATAAAACAAAGCTATTGAGTTCCAAATTAGCATCAGCCAATCTTGTGTCAATAGTTGCAGCTCTACACGGGCAGACAGCGGCTTTATTCAGGCGATTAGAGGAGGGACAGACACAAAACTCTAAGTACAAATCTAAAACGTGCATTCAGACCACCTCTTACACAGAGAGACACTTCTATAGCTACAAACAAGCTAGCCCCGTGTGTGTTGCGTGTGTGTGTGAGAGCCCACGGCGGAACACGAGCGCACTTCCCGCCTATCGCTCACCTCTCCACGACGGACGCGGCGGCTGTTTGCTCCGGCATTTCTCACGGGGGACGGAGGACACACGGCGGGACAGAAATGGTGCAGAAGCGGACGAGAGGCAGACGAGGCGCGGTGACAGCCCTGGACACCTTCTGTGTGTTGCGGGGCTTTGTTGGCGCGCTTAAATAGAGGGAATGGATTCTGTTTCCGCTCGGAGTCCGGGCGCGGGAGATTGGTCTTAAAGCGGCAGGAGCGCGTGTCTTTAGTGACGGCACTTTCGGCTCTTTCGGCTTTTAAGGGATCCGAATCATTTGGCTCCTTTCATTTCATAGATCCGTTTAAAACCCTGTCTCTTTTTATATTATATGGCAGGAAATAATGTTGCACTACAATAATAATATTTAAGTACCTATTTATATTTATATTTATATTATTCAATAATAGTATTTAAGTACAACTATTTTTGTTGTTTTGTTGTTGTTGTTGTTTGTGTGTTTGTTTTGTTTACATTTTTGGTGCTGGCACAGAGCTCTCACTCGTGTTGTGTACTCTGCTTCTGTGCTGATTCTTGTGTTGGTTCAGTTTATCATCATTAATCAGCAGTGATGGAACCACAGACTGAACCTAACAAAGTAAAAGTGGTAAAGTACTGGAACAAAAGAGCCGATTCGTTCGGGAACGTCACATCATTTGCAACATTTTTACATTTTAACTAATTTCTTGTCAGAATTAAATACGTTTTCTATATGAACTGTGTACATTTATCAACATGTCGATAAAAAAGTGGTGATTATTAGCAATGATAAAACTAGAGGAGTGTAGTACCTTACGTTCACAATGGATCTTTGACTTGCTTTCGCTCGTGGCCTCGTTGGCGCAGTAGGCAGCGCGTCAGTCTCATAATCTGAAGGTCGTGAGTTCGAGCCTCACACGGGGCATGTGTTTTGAAACAATTGGGACTAAACTCCATGTCTCCTCGCTTTCTGCAATACAGTTTTTAGCTATATATTTGAAGTGAAATGGCACTGTGATGCAGTAATTTACCACAATATAAAATAGCTTACAACAATAAAAGTTTTCAAATCCTTCACTTCCTTCCAGTATGAAAGTAGATAGGCTTAAACATCAACACATCAAAAATAGAAAGAAAGACACGAGAAGTCTACAATAAAATTCAATATATATATTTAAACTACTGTAAATCTCAGACTATACTTCTTGGCCATTTAAATTGATCATCTGTGGGCTGTAACCACTTGATGGCGCTGTTGTTGTATGTATGAGGGTAAGGCAACAGTCTACAAATGGACAGGGCATTTAATCATCATCGAACATAACCTCCTATCTCTCTTCTAGTTTTTTGCACTGGGTGACTCACGTTGGTCTGGATTAATTTGGACTTTCTCCTGAGGTTTGTGTATTTCATAAAATTCTAAGAAGTCCATGCATTGGTTATCATGAATATGCTTGATTTATTTCAAGTTTATTGAGGCCTATTTAAGATTCTGGGTTCTTACTTGGGCTAAAACCTGTTAATTGATGTGTAGGCGATATTAATTATCTTAAATCTTGCAGTGTTTTGTCTTGTTTTTAGAAGGCTGGGGTCTTTATTGTCTAAACATCAGACATCATCTCACCTTCCATAGCCTATCCATCCACACTCACCTCCTCCGTTTCCACACACACACACACACACACACACACACACACACACACACACACACACACACACACACACACACACACACACACACACACACACACACACACACACACACACACACACACCTCCAGGCTTCCGCAGCACCACACGCACGCGCACGCACCAAGGCTCAGCCGCGCGCGGGATCGTGGAGCTCCTTTGATTTCATCCAAGAACCCCCGAAACGGACCGAGCTCTAACCAGGAACGACGCCACCCAAAAGCCCAGACTGAACCTCCGCACACCGACAGAAACTGAGTCTTTACCCCGAAGAAGGAGAGGTGTGCCCCCGCTTAAGTGGACTGGTCCGCTCCGGTCCGGTTCTGGAGGTTTATATTTAAAAAAAAATCTACGTAAATGTAAACCGACGTGATTGCAGTAACGTTGATTCAGGTAAGGTTTGATTTGAGTCGTTCCATGTGGCTTTTACGCACAAAAACAGGATAGCGCTGCGTAATGGACTATCGATCAGCCCGTCTCATTCACGG